AGCTACAGTGACAGAAGATACATCTTCATTATGAACCTGACCTATACTCAGAGCAGTAGTTACGCTAAATACCAACAGAGAGGGAAAGAGTCTTCAAATCTAGTTTCAGTGCTATCTGCTCTGTGTACAGGGTAGATAGGGACGGGCAATTTAGACATTGGCTATCTAAAATGAGGGGGCATTAAAGGCACAAAGTGACTGGCTTACAAGGTTTTAAGAGGGAGCTTAGTTAAGAGTGTGGGGGTAAAGAAAGAGTCCCCACTGAATAGTTATCATCTTGTCTAGATGGGTCTGATAAAAGGAGATAGGGATAAGATTTGTAAGATTCAGTAGTGAATAACTTATCGTGACTAATCGCGACTGTCACAATTGTAAATGTAGAAGTTTTATAACAAAGGGAGTAGTTAATCTTAAAGTCCAGAGACAGAGGACCCTAGGACCATCAAGAGAGGAACGCACTAATAGAATGTGGGAGCTTATCCAGAGAAGCAGCAGCGCCAGAGATGGAGGCAGAGATCGGGGCATGGAGAGGCAGAGCGGCTGAGGGCTCTAGATTCATCAACTAAGAAGAGAAGGACTAAGAACTGGTGGCCAGGAGCAGACCTGTAGAATATGCCCTTTGGAGATGTAATTTATTATATATGCCTGAGTGGGTTTTTTTTGTTTGTGTGTTTTTTTAAAAAAAGCTAAAGTGGATAAAGAGAAATACTTTTAACTGATGGTATATGGAGGGGATTATAATCAATGTAACGAAACAAGTTATATGAATTGTTGAATGTGAAACTGATGATGTGCCCTGTAAACTTTCACTCATTCCACAATAAAAACCTTAAAGAAAAAGAAGAAAATACTATCCCCTCCCCATGCAATATATTTAGGTACTTTGTTGAAATCAGTTAGCTGTATGTGGATGAGTTAATTTCTGGATTTTCGATTCTCGATTCTGTTCCATTGATCAATATATCTTTCATTGTACCAGTATCAAGCTGTTTTGACCACTGAAAGTGTTTAATAAATTTTGAAATCAGGAAAGAAAAAAGTGTCTTTATGAAATTCACCTTTAACAACTTTGTACCGAATTATTTCTCTGAAAATTACCTAAAATACAAATCTTAATATTCTCTGAAGCACCAGACACTAGAGTCAAGAATTCAAAGTAAAAATAGATGAATATTATGAAACTATTCTCCAGGCCATCCAGAAAATGGAAACAATAAAAAAAATCATGTTCTCCATTTTATGTCAGCATGTGTGGTTTTATAGTTAATTTTTTAGTCCTTGGAGCATAGAATCCTTTTATGCCCAAAATAATCCAACATGGAACTTTAGTTTTGCTCTTCAGCATGATTTGTATTTTATTCCAGAGAGGAGCATAAAACTTATGCTCCTACTCCGGCCAAGTTGGTAAGAAGGCAAGTCCACAAAGCAAAGCCAAATGTGAGAAGGGCACACAGTAAGCGAAAGGAACCAGGAACAGAAAAAGACACAGCAGATCAGGAGGCAAGAAAGCCAGAAGATAATTTGCTGCAACAAGGAGAATCTGATATGCAGCTCCTAAAAGTAAGTTTGGAAAAAAAATTTTCTCATTAAGCTCTCTTTTGTCAGTATCACGAAGGAGAGATTATATAGTGTCTTTTGTATATGTAATTTTTCATGAAAATGAATTGATTTTCTAGTATTAGAAAAATTTAGAAAGTAAGGTGTGTTTGTGTGTATCTTAGAGCTGTAGGCAAACTACCAAATCAAATCAACAGAGAAATTGTTTCCATGGTAACATGAGCTATTTCTTCTTAAATTTAAGAAAAAGACCGAGCTGCTCACACCTCTGGAAAGTTCAGCAAGAACAGATTGTGCAGATCCCCAAGAGGCTCTTTTAACCAAAAAGGATGCTCAATCTAAGGAACTGGGACTATCAGGAAGTGTTGAAAAGGAAACTCTCGGGGATAATTCCATGTCTTCAATTATTGAAGAGAAGTATCTCAGTAAACCAACAAGGTAAATCTTTATTTAACAAGTTCTTTCAGAATTCTTTTTTCCTAAGTGCCATTGAGTTGGTTTCAACCATAGTGTCCCTCTCTCCATAATATTTCCGGGAGCAGCTGGTGGGTTTGATTCCCAGTCTTTCTTTTGGCAGACCCATTACTACTGCACCACACTATTGTCTTGGGGTGCCTTACCTTAACATACCAGTGTAACATACAAACAAAAGACATGTTAAGAGAAGTGGAGATAGTTTTTTATTGACAGGCCTTTTTTTCCTTACTTTTGATTCTATTCTTAAAACTTTCTTTTGTTTTACCTATTTAGGCTAATTTTATCTTTTGTGGGTTTAAAATTTTAAAATGATGTAAATGGAGTAAAGCTTTCAGGACCTTCATTTGCTGATGGGGCACAACTCAAAATGAGAAAGAGCTGTAAACATCCATTAGTAATCAGAATATGGAATGTAAGAAGTATGAATCTAGGAAAATTGAAAGTTGTCAAAATGAAATGGAATGTATAAAGATAGGTATACTAGTCACTAGTGAGCTGAAGTGGACTGGTATTGGCCATTTTGATTTTGAAAATCACATTGCTTACTATACTGGAAATGACAAATTGAAGAGGAACAATGTCACCATCCAAAAGAACAATTCAAGATCTACGGTGAAGTACAACACTGTGTATAATAGGATAATACCCATATACCTACAAGGAAGACCAGTTAATAAAACTGTTGTTCAAATTTAAGCACTAAAGCTAGTCGGTACTGACTCAGTGGCACCTAACAACAGCAACAACAAGCCAGGATCGGGCAGTGTTTCATTCTGCTGTGCATAAGGTCGCTATGAGTTGGTACCGACTCGATGGCACCTAACAACAACAACAAAATTTAACTTCTTCAGTCTGAATTTGACTAAACACATGATCAAGATGTACTGATAATTATTGGCAATTGAAAAGCATTGGTTGGAAATGGGAATGGTCAGTCGCTGGAAAATACTGTCTTGGTGATAGAAACAATGCTGGAGATTATATAATAGATTTTTGCAAGACCAATGACTTCTTCATTGCAAAAACTTTATTTTTTTTGAGGTTTTTATTGTTGATTAAGTGAAAGTTTACAGGGCAGATCATCAGTTTTACATTCAACAAATCATACACCTTGTTTCATTACAATCATTATAATCCTCTCCATGTACCATCACTTAACAGTATTTCTCTATTCGCAAAAACGTTTTTTAAAGAATATAAAAAGCAACTGTACAGATGGACCTCACCAGATGGAATACATAGAAATCAAGTTGACTACAACTGTAGAAAGAGATGGTAGACAAGTTTCATATCATTACAATGTGACCTTGAACATATCACACCTAAATTTAGAGATCATTTCAAGATTTGATGCAGTACATGCTGAAGACCAAAGACCAGAAGCGTTGTAGGATGACATTAAGAACATTATACAGGAAGAAAGCAAAAGGTCATTAAGAAGACAAGAAAGAAAGAAAAGATCTAAAAGGATGTCAGAAGAAACTGTGGAACTTGGTCTCCAGCATAGAGATATTAAACCAAATGGAAGAAATGAGGAGGTAAAAGATCTGAACAGAAAATTTCAAAGGACATCTCAAGAAGACGAAGTTTAATACTATAATGAAATATTCAAAGTCCTGGAGAGAGAAAACCAGTTGGAAAAACACACTCAGCATTTCTCAAGCCAAAAGAACTAAACATAAAATTGAAGCCTCGACTTGAATTATTGAAGGATTCTCTGGATAAAATATTGAATGGTGCAGAAAGCTTCAAAAGAATGTGAAAGGAATGCACAGAGTCACTGTACCAAAAAGAAATATTGATGTTCAGCCATTTCATGTAGTAATATATGATCAAGAGTCCGTAGTGGTAAAATAAGAAGTCCAAGGTGCACTGAAGGCATTGTTGGCAAAGAACAAAGCTCTGGGAATTGATGGAATACAAATTGAAGTCTTTCAACAAACTGATGAATCACTGGAGGCACTCAACTTATCTACGCTCAGAAATTTGGAAGACAGTTATCTGGTCAACTGATTGGGAGAGATCCATATTTGTGCGCATTCCAAAAAGAGGTGACAGAATAAAATGCAGAAATCATTAGATAATATCATTAATACCACATGTAGATAAAATATTGCTAAAGATAATTTAAAAATGGCTGCAACAGTACATTGATAGGGCACTGACAGATGTTCAAGCCGTATATCATTGCTAATATCAGATGAATGTTAGCTGAAAGAAAATAACAGAATGATGTTTATATGTGTTTTATTGTGTATGCAAGGCTTTTGATTGTGCAGATCATGACAAACTGTGGACAGCATTGCAAAGAATGAGTATTCTAGAACACTTAATTGTGCTCATAAGGAACCTATGACTAGACCAAGAGTCAGTTATTCTAATAGAATAGGGGACATGGTGTGGTTTAAAATTAGGAAAGGTGTGTTCTAGGGTTGTATTCTTTCACCATACTTACTCAGTCTATGGGCTGAGCAAATATTCTAGTTAGCTGGATTATATGAAGAAGCGTGTGACATCAGGATTGGAGGAAGACTTATTAACAACCTGTGATATGTATATGATGCAATTTTGCTTGCTGAAAGCAAAGAGCTTGTAGTACTTAGTGATGAAGATCAAAGACCACAGCCTTTGGTATTGGTTGCACTTCAATGTAAAGAAAACAAAAGTCCTCACCACTGTACCAATAAATAGTGTCTATGTAAATGGAGAAAAGAATGACGTTATTAAAGACTTCATTTTTCTAGAATCAACCATCAACACTCATGGAATCAGCAGTTAAGAAATTAGATGTATTGCATTAGTAAATCAGCTGCACAAGTCATTTTCAAAGTGTTAAAGAGCAAAGATGTCAGTTTGAGTGCTAAGGTATACCTTACATTAGCCAGAGTCTTTTCAATAATTTCATATGCATGTGAAAGGTGGACAGTGAAAAAGGAAGATTGTAGAAGAATCGATGCACTTGAGCTATGTTTTTGGAGGAGAATATTACAAGTACTGGGGACTGCCAAAAGAGCAAACATATCTGTGTTGGAAAAAGTACAGCTGGAATGTTCCTTAGAAGCCAGGATGGCCAGACTTCATCTTCATACTTAAGATATAGTATCAGGAGGCACTAGTCCCTGGAGAAGTACATCATACTTGTTAAAGTGGAGAGTCAGCAAAAAAGAGAAAGTCCTTAACAAGTGGATTGACGTAGTGACCGCAGCAGTGGACTCAGTGTAGCTCATCATAGCCCATTGAAGTTGGTGCAAGGCCAATCAGTGTTTCCTTCTGTTGTGCTAAAGTCACTATGAGTGGGGACCAACTCTACGACACCTGATAATAGTATGCACATATGTAGTATAATATGGCATTAATTACCTTGTCATCATTGTACAACCGTCACCACTGTCTATTTCCACACTTTTTCATGTCTCCAAACAGAAACTCACCATCCCGTCTGCCCCCATCTCCTGAAAGCCTATAATCAAAATTTTTATTTACAGTTTTACTTACATAGAAAGAGCCCACAATTAAAAACTTATGATGGAAAAATTTCTAGGTTGATAATGAACTAACACTGAATGAAAAATTGTGTAGTAGTAGTAGTAAGTTTTTCTCTTCAGCACATAATGTTTTGTAAAAATGTGTGGAGGGTTTTTGTTTTAATGCCTTAATGTGGGATTTTACTCTAATGGTTTGACTTCCTATAAAAAGTATCCTTGTGTGTATAATAGCCATATTGTTTTAATTAAACTTATCCAGCAATCCACAGCTGTTAAAAGAATCAAATTACTCCAAAATTGTGTTGGATCGAAGAACGGCTATCTCTTCTGCCTCTGCATTTGAGACTGATCATAGTGAAAGAAGAATACATCGAAAGAGCAAACCAAATGTTGCCAAAGGGCGTGGATCAAAGCGAAATCGGGGTAAGAGCTCAAAGAGGGAACCTAGAGCTACGAAGGCTGTGCTGGTGACTCTTCGGGCTTCCCAGGAAGAAGAAGAAGATGATGCTGAAGATTTTGCTTCTGACTATGAAGAAGAAAGCTGTCATCTTGCTCCTGAAGAAGTAAACAAAGCTCCAGTCTTTGTACCCCTTGGTCTCCGATCTCCTGAACCTGTTGCAACACAGATTGAGGAAACAATGGAAGAGGTAGATATGTTTTTTGTTTTGAATCCTCAACACTGAACTTACTTCCTTTTACTTTTAGTAGATCATCATTTCTTCTTTAGCTATTACTAGAATTTGAATGAGTCATTATTTAAAGTAAATATGGTCTGTTTGGAACCTAGTGGAATGCCAAAAACTAAACGGAATAATTAAGGAGAAATTTTACTAACTGGTTATAATAAAACTTTTCATTTTGACAGCTTGAAATAACCGTGAATGTCCCAGACACCACATGTGTTGCTACTGTTGAATATCAGCCCTCAAACACAGATATTCCTATGCAGGAGATGAAACAAGAAGAAGCTTTGAATGTATTATCAATTGTAAGCATCCCTTTTACTATATGCTTGTTTTTTATGTGTTGTTTACTTTCCAAAGAGTCTGGGTGTTTATTTTGATAGCTTTTTGTTTATTAAGTTCTTAGTTAGTTTCTCTTATGGAGGTAACTGTAAGTATAGATAGTAGAAACTATTGAATAATACATAGTTTTCATGTTTGGCTTGGAAACATTAATTTTTGTGTATGTGGTAAGAATACCACATACACATTTTGAGTTAATTTTTATATAAAGTGTAAGTTAAGGGTTTCACGTCAGAGACAGATATTTTTGAATGGTCTTTGTACTCTTCCTGAAATCAATTGACCATTGATGTATGGGTTTATTTCTGAACTCTCAGTTCAATCTCATTGATGTATGTGTGTCATTGTGTTCAGAAGTGTGAATCCTACTATTTTATCCTTTTTTTCAGGGTTGTTTTGGGTACTTTGGATCTTATGCAGTTCCATATAAATTGAAGGATTAGCCTATTCATTACTATAAAAAAATTTATGTGCTAGACTTTGATAGTGATTCTGTTGAATTTGTACATTGCTTTGGGTAGTATTCACCTCTTAACAGTGTTCAATATTCCAGTCTATTAACATGAATGTCTTTCCATTTAGTTAGGCCATATTTAAATTTTTTTTTTTTTTTTTTCTTGCTGTGTTTCATGGTTTTCAGTTTACAAATCTTTACTTGGTAAAATTATCCTAGTTATTTTTTCCTTTGAAATGCTAAGGTAAATGGAATAATTTTCTTAATTTTCCAATTTTTCAATGCTAGATCTCACCAGAGTTTTTGATTGTTGAGATCATGTAACTTTTTCATTTACTAAAATTCATAATACTAGTTTTAAGCTACCTAGTATTATAAGAATTCCTGACATTCTTCACAGCTTAGCTTCCTTTGAGTAAAAACTGACAGTAGATATGACTAGAGGTGAAGGATAATAAACATAAAGAAGTAACTAAGAAAGGATGTATATAGCAGTATAATTAAGATTTGCATACAATGCATGTATAAAGCAATATGGAACAAGAGATAAAGACAAAATAATTTGTCTTTTGCACCACACTAAACGCCTTAAAATATTGATGAATGCATAAACATCAATATCCTAGGTATTAGTGAGCTGAAATGGACTGGTGTTGGCCATTTTGAATCTGACAACCACATGGTTTACTCTGCCACGAATGACAAATTGAAGGAGAATGATGTTAAATTCATCATCCAAAAGAACATGTCAAGATCTATCTTGACGTGTACAGTGCTGTCTTTGATAGGATAATAGCCATAATCCTAAAAGGAAAGCCAGTTAATACAAATACTATTCAAATTTACACACCAAACAAAGCCAATGATGATGAAACAAAAGAATTCTACCTACTTCTTCAGTCTGAAATTGATCCAACATGTAACCAAGCTGTATTGACAATTACTGGCAGTTGGGATGCAAAGGTTGGAAATAAAGAGGAATGATCAGTCATTGGAAAATTCAGACTTTGTGATAGAAATGATGCTGGAGATCACATGATAGAATTTTACAAGACCAGTGACTCTTCATTGAAAATACCTTTTTTTTTTAAGGTTTTTGTTATGGATTGAGTGAAACTTTACAGGGCAGATTATCAGTTTTACATTCAACAGATCATACACCTTGTTTCATTACAATCATTATAATCCCCTCCATGTACCATCAGTTAACAGTATTTCTCTCTATCCACTTTTAACTTTTTAAAAAAAAACCACTCAGGCATATATAATAATTTACACCTCCAAAAGGCACATTCTGCAAGTCTGCCTCCTGGCCACCAGCTCTTAGTCCCTCTCTTCCCATAAATCTAGAGTCCTCAGCCACTCTATGATCCCTGTCTCCATCTCTGGCATCGCTGCTTCTTTAGATTATCTGGACTGCAAGACTAACCACTCCCCTATGTTTGTAACAAATCTTCTACTTTTATAATAATGACAGTTGCAATTAGTCATAATAACAATTATTCACTGTTGAATCATACAAATCTTATCCCCATCTCTTTTCCCCAGACCCATCTAGGCAAGATGACAGCTGTTCAGTGGGGACTTTTTCGTTCCCCCCATACTCTTAAACTAAACTCCCTCTTGAAACCTTGTAAGCCAGTCACTTTGTGCCTTTATTGCCCCCTCATTTTAGGTAGCGGAGTCCTGGTGTAGCGCAGTGGTTTAATGCGCCAGACTTCAAAGCTGTTTGAACTGCAAGGTTGGCGGTTCAAGCTAACCAGCCATTCCTCAGAAACCTTATACAGGGTCGCTATGGGTCAGAACCGACTCGACGGCACTTCACAACAGCAACAACATTTTAGGTCGCCAATGTCTAAGTTGCCCATCCCTATCTACCCTGTGTACAAAGGGGATAACATTGATACTTGATCTGAAGACTCTTTCCCTCTTTGTTGGTATTTAGAGTAACTGAAAGATGAGGCTTTCTACTCCCGTAAAGATTTACACCCTCGGAAACCCTATACAGGGTCGCTATGGGTCGGAACTGACTCGATGGCACATAACAACAACAACAACAAACCTCTCTGAGTATAGGTTAGGTTCATCAAATTGTAGCAATTTACCCTTGTTTCCTTTATCCAAAAAAAAAATTTTTTTTTTGTAATCTTCCTCTAGTCAAGTTTTGATTATCGAGTCATCAAGGCTAGGTCAAATGGGTACTGTCTGCAAGTTTGGGTGTTCTTGTGCATCTCCCCTCGTTTCTTATCAGCTGGATGCTTCACTCTCAGTTCTAGCCCTCTGTGGCTGTGTCCTTGTCCCTGGGCTGAAGTGTCCCCAGGTCTCACCACACTTTTGACCAACCAGCCCTTTCTCTTTTCTCTTTCATCTCCAGGTCAGTGGGAGTCAATGGAATGTGGTTGAACTCAGCCCATTTCTTCATTGCTGCCTTTCCCACTCTTCCACTCACCAGTAGACCAGTGTGGTTGCCAGCAAGCTTACATGCTTGCTTATGTATTCCCTTTGAGTTTCAGTCTTAGAGGGGTGTTTGTCCTGAAGGAACTTGATTGCTTGCCTTGATGTCTTCCTGGCGAACAGCTTGCTTATTCTTGTAAACGCCAATCATGCTGACTTTTTTTTTTTTTTTTAATAAATGTTTTATTGTGAATTATGTGATAGTTTACATGAGAGAATATTAATTTTACATTCATTCTATCGTATATCCTTTCATTGCCATAGTTAAAATCCCGTCCATGCATCATCAACCAACCAAAGCCTGCCTTTCCCCCACCCCGACCCCCCACCCCCGACATCACACAGCCCTTCTCCCCTCTCTGGATCTCAAGTTCCCAGCTGCTCCATCTCTCCACATCATTGTCTCTGCCTCCATCTCAGGCATCACTGCTTCTCTGGGTAGGGTCCCGCTCTCCGCTCTTCTCCATTGATGGGCCCAGGATCCTCTGCTCCTAGACTAAAAGTTAATCACTCCCCTCCTTGCTATAAAAGGATCACCTTTATATTTCCAACCCTCACAATCAGTCCTGATAACAGTCATTCACTGTTGCATCATAAGAGACCCATCTGCATTTCATTTCATCTGCCCTGCCTAGACAAATTGGATACTACTCACTGGAGATGCTACCTTCCTCCACACCCTCTGGATCTAGGTTCACTCTTGAAAGCTTGTAAGCCAGTCACTTCTTGCCGTTTTAGCCCCTCCCCCCATTTTGGGTAGCCAATGTCCAAGTTGCCCATCTCTGTCTACTCTGTGTGGAGGGGGTGGGAATGATTCTTGTAGTAAGGATTTGTTTCCTCTTTTGACCTACTGCATCCGTAGGTGTAGGTCAATTTCATCAAATTGTATCAGATTACGCTTTTTTCCTCTTCTTTCTTCTTCGGGTTGAGCTTTGATCATCCAGTCATTAAAGCCAGGTCAAGTGGGTATTATCTGCAAGTGTGGGTGTTCTTGGGCCTATCTGCTACCTTCTTATCAACAGGACGCTTCACTCTCCACTCTAGTCCTCTGTGGCTGTGTCACTGACTCTGGGCCCAAGAGTCCCCAGGTCTTCATGCTGACATTTTTGATTTGGGTTTTTCCTGATGATCTTTCTTTGAAGATGTATCTTCTGTCACTGTAGATGTTCCAGGCTGATCTGCTTGTCCTTTCTAGTGGGAATGTCCCACCTCATAAGGTTCTAGATGTATCTCAGGATTCTACCTAAGGTCCTATACTCTGTAAAGGCTTTGCATGAGACCTATTTCACTGGGCAAATTCTAGAACCCCTTTGAGGTATTCTAATTAGTTATAGGCTGAAGACGGGCTTATAAGTTTTCTGTAATCATGTTTTCCAACATTCCTTTCTATACCACTCAAATGTCTATTTTATAATAATAGGCAAGGGAAACTAATATTCATAAGATAGTCAAACATTTTAGTATTATTTTGCCTCTTCAAGCTATACCTAGATCCCTGTATCCCAGAGCCCTGTTGTTCCAATGTTGAGCATGCATCACTATTTACCTTTGTCCCACTTGCAAACCTGTCTCAGTGTTCCCCTATCTATCTTATTCTTCTAAATCCCTCCCCCTTCTTGTACTGCCCTCCCCAACATCTGAACTAAACCCCCCACCCCAAACCCATTATTGTGGTTAATTGTGCCCTCCCCAACATCTGAACTAAACCCCCCACCCCAAACCATTGTTGTGGTTAATATTCCATTAATTCTTCCTTCCATTAAAGACAGTCTATTTTATCTTGTAATCTACCTGACCTTCCAACCACCTGGATCTCTTTTCCTCTGTGTTTACCTTCGTTTACATTGTAATTGTTTTGATCATAGACTGATCTCCCAGATGCTCTGTTCTTATAATTTTATTCTGTTCTTGACTCTTCCATTTTATCGGTTGAGTTCAGGGTGATGCTGCCATATATGTTATTGTGTAGTCGTTTTCTGTTCTTGTTGGTTCTCAGTCCACAGAACTTCCTTTAGGATATTTTTCATGGCAGGGTTGGCTTTGGCAAAATTCCTTAGCTTCTGTTTATCTTGGAATGTTTTGATTGCACCATCATATTTTATTGACAGTTTTGCTGGGTAGAGGATTCTTGGGTGGCAGTTTTTTCTTTCAGGAATTTATATATGTCTCCCCATTGCCTTCTTGCCTGCATAGTTTCTGTTGAGAGATCCAAGCTTAATCTGATTTGCTAGCCTTTGTATGTTACACTTCTCTTCTCCCTAGGTGCTTTCAGGATTCTCTCCTTATCTTTGATTTTGGAGAGCTTGATTATTATAATTCTTGGTGATTGTCTTTTAGGGTCTATCCTTCCTGGGGTTCAGTGAGCTTCTTGAATGCTTATCTTTTCACTTTTCAGGATGTTAGGAAATTTTCTTACAGAAGTTTTTCAACTATCTCCTCTGTGGACTTGTGTGAGTCTTCCTGTTCTGAAATGCCGATAATTATTCTTAAGTTATTCCTCTTCTTGTTGTCTAACATGAATCTTAGGCCTTCTCAGAGATTTTTATCCTTTTTTGCGTTTGCTCCTCTATCTTAGTTGTTTTGAGAGATTTATCTTCTAGCTCACTAGTTCTGGCTTCTATCGCTTTGATTCTACTCCTGTGTCCTTTCAGTGTATTGTCCATTTCTGATATATTCTATTATTGATCATTTGGACCTCTTCCTGTAGGTTTTGAATTGGTCCCAATGTTGTATCTGTCTTATTTGATTGTTCCTATAGTGCTTTCCTGACTTCTTCCTTATTTTTCTCAATTCCATTGTATAGTGTTTTGATACGTTTTATAATCATTTTTCTGAATTCCTTCTCAGGCATTTCCAAAGCCTGCCCATCTTCCAGTGTGGAGTGTAGGTCTACTTCTAGCTCATTTGCCTCAGTCACTATATCTTGTTTCTGGACATGTCCTTCGGTTTTTTGAGCATACTCAGGAGTTTTCTGTGACCTTAATACTTAGCTGGGTGTTTATTTTGGTATTTTTTTCTCCTTTCTGATTGCCTCCAGGTAGATGTGATCAGGAGATGGGTTTCCTTTTTCACTCTTCCTCCTGAGAAATTTCAAGATTCTGCTGTGGGTCGTTGTAATGTAACTCAAGATTTAATTTTCAGCATATTTCCTTTTTATTTTGCCTTTTACCTTCCACAATCCCCATTCAAGCCTTTTTCCTAGTGATAAACAGTTCAGGGCCAGCTGTGGCCATTTGGTTTTAAGTGGAAACTGTCATTTTAAATTTCGAGGAGATCTGTGCGCATGCGTAGTAGAATGCTCCTAGGGTGGGGTTGGGGTGTACATGCTCAGGCACCCCCTCTAGTCACCAAAATGGATGTGTGTAGACAGCCAAAGACCAGTGAACAGACACCAAAAAAAATGTCCACACCTTTATCACCGTGGTTCTGTCAGGCGTCCATGGCTGCTCTGATCCTTCTCTTCCTTGGTCTCGTCCAGGGTGGCAGCTCTGGGAGCAGCTGAGCGTCTTGAATTAGAAAGCAATGGATTTCTTATTTCTGCTAGAAATTCCACTAGCTGAAATCCTCCCAACCTTCTAAATATTCCTTTATATGTGGTTCAGAGTCCAGGCACCATCCCCTGAGCCTGCTTGGTCTGGTATTCTCTGTTGTTGCTGATGAGCTCTTCACTGCACTTTTTGTTTGTTCTTTGCAAATACCTTTTTTAAACAACATAAAAGGTGACAATACATATGGACCTCGCCCGATGGAATACACAGACATCAAGTTGACTCCATCTGTAGACATAGATGGTAGAAAAGCTCCATATAATCAGCCAACAGAAGGCCAGGGTCAGACTATGGAACAGACCATTAATTGCTCATATATAAGTTCAGACTAAAGCTGAAGAAAATTAAAACCAGTTCAACAGAGCCAAAATAAGACTTTGAACATACCCCACCTGTATCTCAAGATCATATGATGAACAGATTTGATGCATTAGACACTGAAGATCAACGACCAGAAGAGTTGTGGGATGACATCAAGAACATCATGCAGGTTTAAAGCAGAAGGTCATTAAGAAGACAAGAAAGAAGTAAAAGACCAAAATGGATGTCAGATAGACAGTGAATAATGAAGACTGTAGAATTGATGCATCTTAAATCACTTGTTGAAGGAGAATATTAAAAGTACCATGCAGAACAAACAAATCTATTTTTAAAAGTACAGCCAAAATGTTCCTTAGAATCCAGGATGGCTAGACTGTCTCCCATACCTCGGGATATTATTAGAAGGGACCAGCCCCTTGAGAAGAACATCATGCTTGGTAAAGTGGAGGGTCAGCAAGAAAGAGTAAGACCCCCAACTAGATAGATTGGCAGCAGCAGTGGGCTTGATTATAGCAATGATTGTGAGATTGACACAGAACAGTGCAGTATTTTGTTCTGTTGTACATAAGATTGCTGTGAGTTGATACCAACTTGATGGCACTTAACAACAACAAAACACTGTAGAATTCTTAGAACAAAAAGTCAACACTATCAGACTTTGCTTTTATGTAAAATTACTTTTTATTGGGTGAAGTTTTCCAGAGGAGACGTTTTCCATTAAAAATTTTACATACAATTTACTTCATTGTTTGCTACTCCCACAATATAGTAGTATTGCACTCTTACACTTTCCCTGTATTTTCTCTTTTCATTCCTTCTTTTTTAATTCTTCAGAACTTTACCTATGGGTAAATGCTTCTCTTTTAATTTCAAATGGTTGATTATTCTAAGTAGTACTTTCCTCCCTAATATTATTGCTCACCTTAAAGGACTATACTGTTTGTCTGAAAATTGAGCCATAACTGTGAATTCCTTTCCAGACCTGAAGGTCCATAGTCTCGAGGTTCCACCAGTCTCTATCCTACCAGTAAATCTGATCTTTTTTATTATTTTGAATTTTATTTCACATTTCCCCTCCACTCTTTCTAGGACCTTTCACTGTGATCCCTTTCACAGCAGTTGATAGTGGTAGCCGGGTACTGTCTTATCTCTTCTGGTTTCAGGGTCATGGTGACTGATGTTTACATAGTCCATTAGAATAATTGTGTCAGTGAATCTTTGATTTTCCTTACTCTCCTTTGCTCCAAACAGGAAGAGATCAATAGTTGCATCTAAGATGGCCACTCATGAGCTTTTATTTAATTTTTTTCATTGTGAATTATGTGATAGTCTACATGGGAGAATACCAGCTCCACATTCATCCTATTTTGCTTCACTGCAATGATTACAATTCCCTGTATGCATCATCAAGCAACCAAAGGTACACTCCTTCAGCCTGTCCCCTGGCCGTCAGCACACAGCCTTACTCCCTTCCCAGAGTCCAGAGTTCCCAGCCACTCCATCTCTCCACATCATCATCTCTGCCTCCATCTCTGGCATCACTGATTCTCTGTACAGGGTCCCACACTCTTCTCCCTTGATGGTACCTGGAACTCAGCTCCTGGACTGTAAAATCAACCATTCCCTCCTTTTGTTACAAAATGTCTACCTTTACGTTTCCGACACTCACAATCAGACCCATAGTAATCATTCACTATTTTGGTGTATTTATTTTTTCTTCTTTAAGTTTTATTGTGGATTAAGTGTAAATTTACAGGGCAGATCATCAGTTTTACATTCAACAAATCATATAACTTGTTTCTTCACAATGATTACATTCCCTTTCATGTACCTTCAGTTAACAGTATTTCATTCTATTCACTTTAGCTCTTTTAAAAACAAAGAAAACACCCAAGGCATATATAATACTTTACCCATCAAAGGTCACATTCTGCAAGTCTGCCTCCTGGCTGCCAGCTCTTAGTCCCTCTCTTCCCATGAATTTAGAGTCCTCAGCCGCTCCCTCTCTTCATGACCCCATCTTTGCCTCCATCTCTGGATAAGGTCCCGCATTCCATTTGTGCTCTTCTCCCTTGATGATCCTCAGGTCCTTTGTTTCTGGACTATAAGATTAACTGCTCTCCCCTTTTTGTTACAAAGCTACCTTTATAATTGTGACAGTTGCAATTAGTCATGATAAAAATTACTCACTATTGAATCATAGAAATCTTATCCCAATCTGTTTTAACCAGACCCATCTAGAAAAGATGAAAACTATTCAATGGCGACTCTTTATTTTCCCACACACTCTTAATTAAACTTCCTCTTGAAAACTTGTAAGCCAGTCACTTCATGTCTTTATCGCCCCCTCTTTTTAGGTAGCCTGTGTCTAAGTTTCCCATCCCTATCTACCCTGTGTACAGAGGGGATAGCATTGCTACTTGATGTGAAGACTTCTTCCCTTTCTGTTGGTATTTAGAGTTACTACCTCCATGAGTATAGGTCAGGTTCATTAAACTGTAGTGATTTATCCTTGTTTCCTTTATCAAAAATTGTTTTTGTTTTAATTTTTTATCTTCCACTAGTTGAGTTCTGATTATCAAGACATCAAGGCTAGGTCAAATGGGTACAATCTGTCTGCAAGTTTGGGTGTTCTTGTCCCTCTCCCCTCACTTCATGTCAGCTGGATGCTTCACTCTCAGCAATAGCCCTCTGTGTCTATGTCCTTGTCCATGAACTCAGGTGTCCCCAGGTCTCACCACACTTTGGACCAACCAGCCCTCTTCTTCTCTCTCTCATCGCCAGGTCAATGGGAGTCAATGGACTGTGGTTGAACTCAGCCCATTTCTTCATTGCTGCCTTTCCCCCTCTTCTACTCACCAGTACACCAGCGTGGTCGCCAGCAAGCTTACTTGCCTGCTTATGCGTTCCCTTTGAGTTTCAGTTTTATAGGGGGATTTGCCCTGAAGGAACTTGATTGTTTGCCTTGATGTCTTCCTGGCGTACAGCTTGCTTATTTTTGTTGTAGCCAGTCATGCTGACACTTTTTGTTTTGGGTTTTTTCCTAATGATCTTTCTTTGAAGATGTATCTTCTGTCACTGTAGCTAGCTGTTCCAGGCTGATCTACTTGTCCTTTCTAGTGGGAACGTCCCACCTCAGAAGATTCTGGATGGGACTCAGGATTCAACCTAAGGACGTATACTCTGTAAAGGTTTTGCAAGAAGCCTGTTTCACTGGGCAAGTTGTAGAACTCCTTTGAGGTATTCCAATTAGTTATAGGCTGGTTGTAGCCAGTCATACTGACATTTTTGTTTTGGGTTTTTCCTGATGGTATTTTTTTGAAGGTGCATCTTCTGACACACGAGCTATTCCAGGCTGGTCTACTTATCCTTTTTAGTGAGAATGTCCCACCTCATAGGGTTCTGAATGGGAGTCAGGATTCCACCTAAGGTCCTATACTCTACAAAGTATCTACAAGAGGCAGTCATTCAGTATTAAACCACAAGAGTCTTATCCCCATCTCCTTTCACCAGCTTCCTCCAGACAGGTTGGAAACCACTCTGGAGATTCCTCCTTTCCCCTCACCCTCTGGAACTAGGCTCCCTCTTGAAGCTTGTAAGCCAGTCACTTCTTGCTTCCCCCCGTCCCCCCAAGTTTTGGGTAGTCAGTGTTTAAGTTGCCTATCCTTATCAGTACTTCCCAAAGTAAGATGCAGAACATTGCTTTTTTTATTTTCTTCATGTTTTATTGGGAATTATATGATATTTTACATGAGAAAACTTTAGTTTTACATTCATTCTATTGTATATCATTTCATTGCTATGGTTCCAGTCCCCTCCATGAATCATCAACCGACCAAAGGGTATACCCTATAATCACCCCCCCCACCCCCCCATTCTTCAGGACCCAGTCCCTCTCTCTCTCTGGATCCAAAGTCCCCAGCTGCTTCATCACTCCACGTCATCGTCTCTGCCTCCATCTCGGGTCTTGCTGCTTCTCTGAGTAGGGTGCCACTCTCGGCTTTTCTCCGTTGATGGTCCCAGAGACCTCCACTTCTAGACTGGAGAGTTAACAACTCCCTTCCTTGCTACAAAACATCTACCTTTACATTTCCAGCCCTCACAATCAGTCCTGATAATAATCGTTCACTATTGTATCACAAGTGACCCTTCCTCATTTCATTTCATCAACTCCGCCTAGACAGATTGGATAGTACTCACTGGAAATTCTGCCTTCCTCCATGCCCCCTAGCTCTAGGTTCCCTCTTGAAAGCCAGTGAACATTGCTTTTTTTAAAAAAAACTTTTTATTGTGAATTGAGTGACGGTTTACAGAGCAGATCATTAGTTTTGCATTCAACAAATCATATACTTTGCTTCCTAACATGGTTGCAATCCCCTCATGCACCAACAGTTAACAGTATTTATCTCTATTCACTTTAACTAGCACTGCATTCCTCCCTGAGTCTCCTTTCATCCCCGTCTTTCCTCTGCTAGCCTCCCTCTGGTTGTATATTGCCTGGCCTGCCCTGTCATCCATGTCAATGCATGCCTACACTCTAGACATGAGTCATTTCCTTCCCCCACCCCAACCATCATGGATTGTTTCTTTGATCAAGAAACAACCCGTTTTTTGTTTTTTGATGTACAAAAACAAAAAACACCACACAGGAATATATACTAATATAAACAACCAAAGGGCAACTTCTGGAAGCCAGCCCCTCCTGACTGCCAGCACTCAGCCTTTCTCTTTCCATAAGTCTAGCTAGAGTGCTCTATCTCTCCATGCAATCATCTCTGCCTCCATATGTGGTGTCACTGTTGTTGTTGTTGTCAGGTGCCATCGAGTCAGAACTGACTCATAGCGACCCCATGCACAGCAGAATGAAACAATGTCCGATCCTGGGCCAACCTCACTACCGCCGCCACACTTGACGCCATCAATGATGCCACCTGGTCGATCCATCTCGTTGGGGGTCTTCCTCTTTTTCTCTGACCCTCCACCTTACCCAGCATGACATCCTTCTCCAGCAACTGTTCTCTCCGGACAATGTATCCAAAGTATGAGAGACGAAGCCTAGCCATCTTGGCCTCCAAGGAGCACTCTGGTTGCACTTCTTCCAAAACAGATCTATTGATTCTTTTGGCAGTCCATGGCACTTTCAATATTCTCCTCCAACACCACAATTCAAAGGCACCAATTCTTCTACGATCTTCCTTATTCACTGTCCAGCTTTCACATGCATATGAGGTTATTGAAAATACCATGGCCTGGGTCAGGCGCACCTTAGTCCTCAAGCTGACATCTCTGCTCTTCAATGCTTTAAAAAGTTTCCGTGCAGTAGATTTGCCCAATGCAATACGTCGTCTGATCTGTTGACTGCTGCTTCCACGAGTGTTGATAGTTGATCCAAGAAGAATGAAGTCCTTGACAACTTCAGTCTCTTCTCCATTGATAAGAATGTTGTTTATTGGTCCAGTGGTGAGGATTTTTGTTCTCCTGACATTGAGATGCAACCCATACTGAAGGCTGTGCTCTTTGATCTTCATCAGTAAATGTTTCAAGTCCTCTTCAATTTCAGCAAGCAAGGTTGTATCATCTGCATATCGCAGGTTGTTAATGAGTCTTCCTCCAATCCTGACGCCACGTTTTTCTTCATAGAACCCTGTTTCTCATATTATTTGCTCAGCATACAGGTTGAATAAGTATGGTGAAAGAATATAACCCTGTCGCACACCTTTCCCAATTTTAAAACATTCAGTGTTCCCATACTCTGTTCGAACAACTGCTTCTTGGTCCAGGTACAGATTCCTCAGAAGTACAATTAACTGTTCTGGAATACTCATATTTCTCAATGTTGTCCAAAGCTTGTCATGATCTACACATTTGAAAGCCTTTGCGTAGTCAATAAAGCATAGGTAAACATCTTTCTGATATTCTCTGCTTTCCGCCAAGATCCACTGGACATCAGCCTCTACTGAATCCAGCTTGAACCTCTGGAAGTTCTCTGTCAATGTATGATTGTAGCCATTTCTGTATTACCTTTAACAAAACTTGACTCGCTTGCGCTATCAAAGAGATTGTCCGATGCTTTCCGCATTCTGTTGCGTCACCTCATTTTGGAATGGGCACAAATATGGATCTCAATCAGTCGGCCAGGTAGTTGTCTTCCAAAGTTCTTGGCAGAGATGAGTGAGTCTTTACAAGCTAAAGACTGCTTAGTACAGTCAAATACCTTATGTGGTTTTATTTCTTGGTTTGGAGATTAGCATGGTTTTATGAGACTTCCTATTTCATTGGCTTAACGTTATATTTGTGCTTCTGTCCTACCGCCTAATTCTCACTGCCTAGTGCCTGAAGTCTTAAAAACTTGCAGGTGGCCATCCAAATTGCAGCAATTGGTCTCTATTCGAATGGAACAACAGACAAAGGAGGATACTCCTAGAGTATGAGAAGGATGTAAAATATGTGGCTAATTGCCTCCGTGAACAATTGCCTCCTTTGCCATGAGACCAGAGAAAAACTGAATGGTGCTTGGCTACCATTACAGAACACTTTGTTCAAATTTTCTATAGAAGAATCTTGATCCAAATGGGAAAGAAACAGAATTTGAAATTCTCATGGGCTTTAGATTATCTGGAGCCATATGGGCTGGATGAACCTCTAGAACTGTTGTCCTGAGATAATCTTTAAAAGTTAAACCAAAAATGTTTCTTGGGTTTAGCTCAGTTAGTGTAGAATGTATGCACTGAGTATTAGTTCTCTGAAAAACTGTCTATTGGATCAAATTAACAGTAACTCAAAAGAACAGGTTATGGTGGAACAGTTCAGAAGTGGAGGGAGAAATGATTGTACTACTGAAAAATGTAGTCAGTGTCATTGAACTGTAGATGTAGAAATGGTTGGAATTGTGTATATTTTGCATATCAACAAAATAAAAAATTGAAAATATTTTGTTTTTAATTATTTTCTGCTTATCTCTGAACTTTAAAAATAATAATGCATTAAGAAAAATTAGTATTGTAATTAAGTATAATGGAATACCTGGGGAATGTAATAATATATGAGATATGGAATCTGTACTTGGAAAAATATTTCAGATGTTATGAATCTCTTTCTCTTGTAGGAGATGGAGATGACCACATGTGAACAGCCCCAAGATGAAACAGGTAACTGCACGAAACTGCTAAAACTCTTTGATTAATATTAATATTAGCAAAGTGATTTCAGTAGCAGTGATAATAAATGAGTTATAATGCTGTGTAATTACAAGATAAAGCTGGTGCATAGTTCCATAAAGGAAATATGGATTATTGAAATGTTTCTTTAGAAGGTGAGTCAATAGTTAAATTTTAATAAACTATTGAGACTATATGATGTAATGTTATTTAATGGGGCAAGGATGAACAAGCATTTTTATTGTGTAAAACCTAACAGTTGATTATTTATTTGTTTACATAATCTGAGCAAAACATTACCCTCGCAAAGAATCATGGTTAGGGAGTAGTGGTGGTAAAGTTGTTACTAGAAATAAATGCCTGAATTAAAAATACTTAAAAATTAAGCATACTTAAATTTACAGATTCATTGTTATGTTTTAAGGCTGGTATATTTTCTCACAAGGTTCCAATGATGGAAGCACCGAAGCTGCCATAGCTTTACTTACAATGGGAGATTTTGTGTTGCAATCAGACATCATTACTGATCAGGGTGATGGTAAGAATAAAAGATCATTCTTGAAAGAAAAGTATGTTTTAAGAATTTACAGCTCCATTTGAATAACAAGTTAATACTTGCCCTTTACATTTGAACTTGGCAACATTTGTTTTCTTAGCAAACGTAGTATGTGTGTGTGCATTGACCCTTCCACAGAACTCTTATAGGTGTAATGACAGCCATTTTGAGGTAGCACACATGGTTTATTCAGAATAACGTGTATTCACAGAATTCACAGTTAATGTAGTGAATCTTCTTAGTTTGTCGTCATAAAGATCTTTTTTTAACTGAGCTTACTGATCACTGAATACTTTATACAGGTTTCTTTAGCAAAGGAATTCCGTTTTGGATGGTCTTCACAATTACATGATAATCAAATTAAGTGTGAAGGGACAATGTAGTTAGTCACTTTGTGAAATAATTTAAACTATTAATGGTAGTTTGGACAGAGTCAAAAAATATAATTCAACCCATATTATTATATCAGGCTGAATTAATAGATAAACTTATTTTTTTTATGTTACTGGTTAATGCGCTATACTGAAAGGTCAGCTTGAACCACAAGGTCAGCAGTTCCAGCTCACCAGCTGCTCCTCGCTATGAGTAAGAACTGACTTGATGGCATTTAACAACAACAAATCTTTTACTTAACTACCATATTTTAATGCAAGTAACATACAGTTTTTTGCAAATGGCACAGTCCCTTCATGTATTAATTTCTCTGTGTTATGTGATATTTGAAAAATAGCGTACACTAAATGGATAGTTATATTGAGTGTATTATTGGTAATTGTTTTCATAGATGATGAGTGACTTGCCATTTATTTATTCATTAACTTCTTATTATGAAGTGGGTGAAGGGTTACAGAGCAGATCATCCATTTTACATTCCTTCACATTTACATTTACAATTCATTCACATTTCCTCTCCCTGTTTCCTATTTCCATTCTTCCTTCTTTCCTAACCCTTCTTAACTTTGTTCTCAGGTAAATGCTGCCTTTGGATCTCAAGTGATTGATTTTTCTAAGGTGTGCATAGCTTCCTAGTGCTACTGTTCCCATGTAAACCTATATTATTTGGCTGAAACTTGAGCCTCAGGGGAAAGTTCATTTCCAGACCTGAAGGGTAACCAAAAGCCACATTCTTGGGGTTCCACCATCTGTCCATCTCATTTAGTTAGGTCTCTTTTATGATTTTGAGTTCCACATTTTTCTTCTGCTCTTATCTGTGACCTTCTAATGTAACCCTTCTCAGAGCAGTTGTTAGTGATAACTGGGGACCATCTAGTTCTTCTTACTTGCCATTCATATTAAAGTCTTGGCTTTTAGGCCCATGTTATTGTTAGATGTTGTTGAGTTGGAATAAGCACATATTTATATTTATCAGGAATGTCTGATTTGTGTTTCCTCTAGGGCTCTTGTCTAACTGGTCTGGTAGAGTAATGAATGCACTGGGGCTATTCAGCAAACCTGTAGGCATAACATATGACTTTATAAAAATTGTAAATGAAGACTGTCCAATCTTTAACTCCATTTGAGATCAATAAGAAACTCATTGTTAAAGTTTCTGATTGCAAGATTTTTTAAGCTCACGTCAGGTCAAGTTTCTGGCATGAAACATGAAATTATAAATTTACCTTTGGTCCCCTGAAGAACAAGTTGAGAAAATGATGTTGCTCTTGTTAGCTGCTGTTGACTCGGTCTGCTACTCTTGGCAGACCCATGAAGAATGGGGCCCCAGACCATTGAGTTTTGTAGGCTTTTCATTGACTGATTTCTGGAAGTAGATTACTAGGTTTTTCTTTCTATAAAATATTAGAGATTTTAAAATTTTCTAAGTGCTGAAGAAATCCTTGTATTTACACATACATTTGTTTTCTATTATCTAATTCTCATTTTTATTTTCTATTTTTTTTTTCTGCATTAGGAATAGGTGTCCTTCCTGATGTTGATTTAAAGAATGATAGCCATATTCCTTCTAGTCCAGATAATGTAAAGCACAATATTGTTGATAAATGTCTGGAACTTTCTTCACCTGGTATTAGTGTATCTCCTGCATCATTCGAAGAAAATAAGATTGTATTGAAGGAACATAGTACTGAAGATGAAGTTGGTTTATTGGAGAAAGTAAAGGAAAACGCTCAACTAACCAGGTTGTTTTTGCATTACTAAACTTATTTCTTTTGAATTTTACTAAAGTCCTGGTGTGGCACTGTAGGATAAGCACTGGACCACAAGGTCAGTTTGAACTGCAAGGTCAGTGGTTCAGACTTATCACCTGCTCCTTGGATACCCTATACAGAGTTGCTACGAGTCAGAACTAACTTGAAGGCACTTAAGGAACAATGACAATACACTTTTAAAAATAGGGTTGGCTGATTTTTACTTAAAATGATTGCTACGTTAAAATCACAGCAGTATATATATGTCTTTCCTGCAATAATCAAATAACTTTATGTAAAACATAGTCTGAGTTTTACAAATAGGACCCAGATTCACTTTCCTGCTCAAGTAGTAAAATTACTCCTTTTGATTTTAACATTAAGAATTTAATACTTGCAGATAAGTATGGTACATTAAAACTGTCAGTGCTAGACAGGTTGTATAAATGCCAGAGATAGAGAATGTTACAGGATGAATAAATTTCTCTTTCTTCCCATGTTTCTTTTTCTAGGCGTACAACTTCTAAAGTGACCAATAATTTGAGGATGAGAAATAGACTTCCGAAGCCTAAGCCAAATCTTAAAAGGATTTTAGGGACCAAAAGGCTTACTGCTCTTCAGAAAGTTCCTAGTTTGTCTGCAACCAAAGCGGAAGAAGTGGATATTCAGAAGGGTAAATTTTATTTTTCCTTTACAAAGCTTTAAGATTACTTTGGCACATGGAATTTCATTAGTATTTTAAATGAATATTCAGTCATTTATTAAACGTGCATTAACTTACTACAGAAAAGTAGAATGAAATATAAAAATGAATACCCATCAATCTACCAATTGGGTTCAGTAATTATTACCCTTTTGCTATATTTGCTTGATTAATCTTTTTATTTCCTCATGTACATGCATCTTTTCTGTATTTATGTGTGCAAATATATCTTAGAAGTGTACTGCATATGGCTAAAACTAAGACAGCCCCTCAAAGACAAAATGTAAAAGGTCTCTTTTTCCCTGGTTCCCAACCTGTTTGTCCCACTTCTAGTGGTACACTTACAACAGCTTTTTATTATATACATCTAAGAATGTTTTATACAGTCACAAACATCTACATGGGTGTGTGTACACGCATACACACTCAATACCCTTCAGCAAGAACAAAATGATATGCATTCTATATCATATATACTATCCAGCCCTTTTAAAATAAAAGTTTTGTTGAATTGTAATTTGCATACATTAGTTAGTGTATTTGAATTGTGGTGTTTAGTATATTCATATCCGTATTCATTGAACTGTATAACAATCACCACATTCAACTTAAGGATTTTTTTTTTCCTATTTAATATAAAAATTGAACATCAGTTTACTCTGTGGTTTGAATCTGCCTGTTCCTTTTTTTTTGTAAATTGGGTGAAGGTTTACAGAGCAGACATCAGTTTTATATTCAACAATTCTTACACATTCCATTTCATCTCATTGATTGCAAGCTCCCTCCAACCCTAGTGTAACATCACTTACCCATTTCCTAGCTCTGTTTTCTGTTCCTCCCTCTTTCTTAACCCTCCTGAGCTTTGTCCTTGGGTAAATGCTCCTCTCTGATTTCAAATGGTTGGTTTTTTCAAGATGTGGACAACTCATTAGTGTCTCTTTTCCACTGATATACCTGTCTGTTTTGTGACTGAAAACAGAGCCACAGACGTGAGTTCAGTTCCAGACTGTAGGCTAACCAAGGGCCAGAGTGTTGGGTTCCACCAGTGTTGATCCAGCCAGTAAACCTGGTTCTCTTTCCTTATGATTTTTAGTTTTGCTCCACATTTTCTCCCACTTGATCCAGACCTTCAAATGTGATTTCTTTCAGACCAGTAGGTGTAGTGGTAGCCGAGCACTATCTAGTTATCCACTGGTCTCCAGATGGTAGAGACTGATGTTCATGTAGTTCATTAGGCCATGGGACTAATTATTATCATGTTTCTCTGATTTTCATCTCTCTTCTCCAGACAGAGGCAAACCAATAGTTGTACTTAGATGGCCTCGCACACACTACTCATCAACATTCTTTGTTCGAATAGAACTAGGGTATAATGAATAGTTTAAAGTCAGGACAGGTCTGCTTTAGGGTTCTATTCTTTGACCATGCTTATTCCATCTGTATACTGAGCAAATGATCTGAGAAACTGGATTATAGGAAGAAGAATGTGGAATCAGGGTTGGAGGAAAACTCATTAACAATCTACTATGTGCTGATGATTCACCACTTGTCTGTCAGTTTGTCATACTGTGGTGGCTACCTGTGATTTTGGAAGTGGTATTTTAAATATCAGCAGAGTCACCACTGGTGGACAGATTTCAGCTAAGCTTCCAGACTAAGCCAAGCAAGAAGGAAAAGACAGAAAATGAGCTCCTTAGGTTGGAAAGAGCATAACTGGAACTGCTCCAAAATATGACTGGAAAGAGCCAAAGTAGAGTTGACTGTGACAACGTGAATGGAGTAAAGCCTTCCAGACCATCAATTGCTGATGGGATGCAAGTCAAAATGAGGAGAAGCAGTTAAAACATCCGTTAATGATAGGAACATGGAGTGTACGAAGTTTGAATCTAGGAAAATTGGAAGTTGTAAAAAATGAAGTGGAATGCATCAACATCAATATCTTGGCATTGTTGTTGGTGTTAGGTGCCGTCGAGTTGGGACCTACTCATAACAAGCTTATACACAGCAGAATGAAATCTGGCCTAGTACAGTGCCAACCTCAAAATCCTTTCTACCTTTCAGCCCATTGCTGATGCCACTATGCCAATCCATCTCGTTGGTGGTCTTCCTCTGTTTCTCTGACCCTCTACTTTTCCAAGCATCATATTCTTCTCCAGGTACTGGTACCTCCTGATAATATGTCCAAAGTACAAGAGGTGAAGGCAGGGCATCCTACTTCTAAGCATTCTGGCTGTACTTCTTCCCACACAGATTTGTTTGTTTTTATGGAAGTCCATGATGCTTTTAATATTCTCCTCCAACAGCATAACTCAAATTCATCAATTGTTCTACAGTCTTCTTTATTCATTGTCCAATGTTCACAAGCATGTGAAGTTATTGAAACTACCGTGGCCTGAGAAAGGCACACCTTAGTCTTCAAACTGATACCTTTGCTTTTGAACACATAAAAGAGGTCTTGTGCAACAAATTTGCCTGATGCAATATGTCATTTGACATCTTGACTGCTGCGTCAATGAGTGTTGATGGTTGAAGTGCTTGACAACTTCAATCTTTTTTCCATTTATCTTGATAATTATTTATTGGTCCAGTGGTGAGGATTTTTATTTTCTTTACACTGAGGTGCACAGGTGTGTTCTTTGATGTTCATCAGTATTTTAAGTCCTCTTTGTTTTCAGAAAGCAAGGTTGTATCATTTATATATTGCAGGTTTTTAATGAGCCTTCCTCCAATCCATTTACATATTGCAGGTTTTTAATGAGCCTTCCTCCAATCCATGTTTTTTGTATAATCCAGCTTCTCGAATTATTTGCTCAACATACAGATTGAATAAGTATGATGATAAAATAAGATCCTGCCGCACACCTTTCCTGATTTTAAGCCATTCAGTGTTTCCTTATTCTGGACGAACAACTGCCCTTTGGTCCATGAACAGGTTCCTTGTTGGCACAATTAAGTGTTCCAGAATACTCATCCCCAGCAATGTTGTCAGTAGCTTGTCATGATCCAGACAATCAAAAGCCTTTACATCCATTTATGTGGATGTTATTTAATGGCCCAGTGGTGAGGATTTTTGTTTTCTTTAGATTGAGGTGCAACCCATACCAAAGGCTGTATGTGGTCTTTGGTCTTCAACAATATTTTAAGTCCTCTTCACTTTCAGGAAGCAAGACTGTATTATCTACATATTGCAGGTTTCTAATGCATCTTCCTCCAATCCTGATACCACATTCTTCTTCATAAAATCCAACTTCCCAATGATTTGCTCAGCATACGGATTGAATAAGTATAGTGAAAAAATACAACTCTGGCACACACCTTTTGTAAATTTAAAGCCTTGTTCTGTTTGAAACACTGCCTCTTGGTGTATGTACAAGTTCCTGAGCACAATGAAGTGTTCCAGAATACTCATCTTCCACAGTGTTGTCCATAGCTTGTCATGATCCACACAATTGAAAGCCTTTGTGTAGTCAATACATCACAGGTAAACATCTTTCTGGTACTCTCTGTTTTCATCCAAGATCCATCTGACATCAGCATTGATATCCCTTGTTCTGCATAGTCATCTGAATCCAGGTTAATCCTCTGACAGTTCTATCTTGAATTATATTTAACAAAATGATAGTTCTATGTATTTAACCCTTTTGAGTCTCTGCCAGACTTTTCTCAAGCTACCACATCATTTTATAAAATTCTGTTTTTTTCATGTGTCCTGACACTTACTATAATTTGTCTTTTTTATTATAACCATTATAATCATATTCTAGCTGGTATAATAATGGTATATAATTTTGGGTTTGATATGTATTTCATTGTTGACTTGTTGTTGTTGTTAGGTGCCATCGAGTCACTACTGACTCATAGTGACCTTACACAAAGCAGAACGAAAAACTGCCTGATCCTGGGCCAACATCACTACTGTTGCCATGCTTGAGTTCCATCGATGCTGCATTTGGCCAGTCCAGCTTGTTGGAGGTCTTGCTCTTTTTCTCTGACCCTCCATGTTACCAAATATGATATCCTTCTCCAGAGACTTGCCCCTTCTGACAATATGTCCGAAGTATGAGAGATGAAGTTTGGCCATCTTGGTCTCCAGGGAGCACTGTGGCTTAATTTCTTCCAAAACAGATCTATTGGGGTTTTTTTGTCAGCACATGGCACTTTCAATATTCTCCTTCAACACCATAACTCAAAAGCATCAATTCTTCTACGGTCTTCCTTATTCACTGTCCAGCATATGAGGTTATTGAAAATACCATGACTTGGGTCAAGTGCACCTTAGTCCTCAAGCTGACATCTTTGCTCTTCAACACTTTAAAAAGGTCTCGTGCAACAAACTTGCCTAATACACTACGTACGTCATTTGATTTCTTGACTGCTGCTTCCATGAGTGTTGATGGTTGATCCAAGAAAAATGAAGTCCTTGACAACTTCAATCTTTCTCTGTTGATAAGAGTGTTGTTTATTGGTCCAGTGGTGAGGATTTTTGTTTTCTTGACATTGAGATGCAATCCATACCAAAGGCTGTGCTCTTTGATCTTCATCAGTACTTTAAGTCCTCTTCACTTTCAACAAGCAAGGTTGTAGCATCTGCTTATCGCAGGTTGTTAATGAGTCTTCCTCCAATCCTGATGCCACGTTTTTCTTCATAGAACCCATATTCTTGGATTATTTGCTCAGCATACAGGTTGAATAAGTATGATAAAAGGATACAACCCTGTCACATACCTTTCTTAATTTTAAACCATTCAGTGTTTCCATGTTCTGTTCAAACAACTGCCTCTTGGTCCATGTACAGATTCCTCATGAGCACAATTGAGTGTTCCAGAATACTCATACTTTGCAATGTTGTCCATAGCTTGTCATCTCTGCTTTCAGCCAAGATCCATTGGACATCATCAATGATATCCCTCATTCCACGACCTCTTCTGAATCCAGCTTGAACCTCTGGAAGTTCTCTGTCAATGCTTGATTGTAGCCGTTTCTGTATTATTTTTAGTAAAACTTTACTCACATGGGATATCAAAGAGATTGTCCCATGATTTCTGCATTCTTGGGTCACTTCTCTCTGGAATGGGCACGAA